CATCTTTAGCTTATTATGGAGTTATCATGGCCTTGCCTAAAAGTAACTAATTCAGCTTCAAGAGTAAAACAATGGCTACTTAGTCTCTAGTATTAGCAGCTGTTAGATCTATATGGTTTTGGGGCTGAAGAGTGTTTTTAATCCGACTCCCAGGAGGAGAGAAGACGCATGAAGGAAGAAATCGAGAGGAGGAGGATGGAGGCAGCAGAGAGGATGAAGAACCTGAGTACGTCCAGTGTCGATGAAGACGAGATGTTCAGTCCCTTCAGCCCAAAAGTTTCCACGCAGAAGGTAAAGAGCGTGCACCGGCTTCTAACGCCGGTTATAAAATCTCTCTGTTGGTAACTACTGCTTCTTTTGTTTGACTGTTTCACTTTTCTAACTTAGAGACTGGTCAGCAACCATCTGGCTACAACCGGTCGCTATGGAACGATGTGTATTCCCCAACTGGTTGGTGATTGCTAGTTTGAAAATGGTCACAAAGAGGCACACGGTTCTGCACTGAAGGCCTCCTTAGAATTGCTTTGGTTTTTAACATATTGCCTGCAGTTTGCATAGAAGATAAAGACTTACATGCCTGCTCAGAGAGTAGTTTTAAGTCTGAAGAGTGCGACAAAAAAAGGAGGTGTTACTCTTTTACTGTCAGTGCAAACATTCTCTATGTCTTGTTGGTGTCACGCTAAATGCCGAGTGTTTGCAGACAAGTCGGCATCTTTCATGCAAACTACAGGTAACAGTAGAAATCTGCTTGCAAACCACAAGGAGAGCCTTGGTGCAGCACCCTCAGTGACTGCAAGAACATGCAGCAACCACCGGTGGGTTGGGTAATGCGTATTTTTCCCCTAGTGATCAGGTGTGCCAGAGGGTTACCACCTGGTCTCTAGGCCTAAACAACATTTCTGATTGAGTAACTTGGTCATCAAACCCTAATGTATCGAAAGCTGGTTGTATTTACTTGTTAATAAATCATATTTCAATTCAATTTTATTTATATAGCGCCAAATCACAACAAAAGTCGCCTCAAGGCGCTTCATAGATACAGAGAAAAACCCAACAATCATATGACCCCCTATGAGCAAGCACTTTGGCGACAGTGGGAAGGAAAAACTCCCTTTTAACAGGAAGAAACCTCCAGCAGAACCAGGCTCAGGGAGGGGCGGGGCCATCTGCTGTGATTGGTTGGGGTGAGAGAAGGAAGACAGGATAAAGACATGCTGTGGAAGAGAGACAGAGATTAATAACAGATATGATTCAATGCAGAGAGGTCTGTTAACACATAGTGAGTGAGAAAGGTGACTGGAAAGGAAAAACTCAATGCATCATGGGAATCCCCCGGCAGCCTACGTCTATTGCAGCATAACTAAGGGAGGATTCAGGGTCACCTGGTCCAGCCCTAACTATATGCTTTAGCAAAAAGGAAAGTTTGAAGCCTAATCTTAAAAGTAGAGATAGTGTCTGTCTCCTGAATCCAAACTGGAAGCTGGTTCCACAGAAGAGGGGCCTGAAAACTGAAGGCTCTGCCTCCCATTCTACTTTTAAATACTCTAGGAACAACAAGTAGGCCTGCAGAGCGAGAGCGAAGTGCTCTAATAGGGTGATATGGTACTACAAGGTCATTAAGATAAGATGGGGCCTGATTATTTATATATATTATATTTGCAAACAAGTCAAGTTCAAACAAAAGTTTTGAGGTGGGTGGACTTGTGTCCTCACAGGCAGAGCTATGTGCCTGAGATGATCATGAATGGCAGTCAGATCCAATATTCAAACAGACGCTGCAGCACTGAGCATTTAGATCAGTCTGAACCTGAGCTTGAGGTTCACAGTGAATTCACATATATGTGGATATAAAATGGATATATGAGAGAAAAAGCATCAAAGGTTCACTTAAGAACCCACTGGCACAGCCATGAATGCTGTCAGAATTTAATCTCACCTGTTCAGGTCAGCAAGAGCTATCATGTGAGCAGATAAAGAGGAATTTGAAAAAGAAAAGTTTGATTGTTTCGGGTGATCCGTCCTTCCGTCTAGCGCATTACTGTAATGTTGATTTAACAAAATGCAGCCTACTGTTTGACCTGCTGGGTTAAAAAAAACAAGTAACTCAGTGACTGATCGCTGTGTGTTATCTTCCCAGCAGATGGGTTCAGTCTCAGCTTGTAAGTTGCATGTGTGTGTACCTCTGTGTGTGTGATTGCAAAGCCACTTCAGCCTGGCTGCACCAGGAACAGCACGCGGTGTTGTCCTCGATCTCACTGCCACTCGAAATGTTTCACTGTCTGAGCTTGATGAACTGTGTGAACTGTAAATGCCTATGTGTGTGTTTTCAGCACGTTGCGCTCGTTTATGGAGCCCTCTCAGTCCAGGAAGACATTTCTTTTCTTATTTAAAACAAAATCTGGTTCATAAAGATTAAGAAACCAAACCCTGTTTGGGACTTTGGGGTTCTGTATTTGGATTTTTGATGAGTGGCTCGTCCACGTGCATGACACTGTGTGCATGTTGGCATGTCTTCTTTTTTTGCTTCTTCTATTCCTGAATTTATGTGAACATGAACAGATTCAAACGAACCAAATGTTTAAGGATGCACAGAAAAAAATGAATCCAAATAGTAAATGAGACATTTACAACAATGGGTAAAAACTTATGAGGTTAAGTGAAATCCTCAGGTTTATTTTCTCAGTTAAAGTTGTGTTAATGGCACCACTTAAGTACAACACTAAGATTAATATCCTGTGTGTTATTTCAAGTTATTAAATCTGACATTGTGACTTTTTCCGCACAGAACTCAAATCTAGCCATGCTTCACATCAGACAGGCTTCACCTCTACCTTAAATATTGTCATTTATGTCCAGTGTTTGATGCATTTTGCTGCATGTTGGAAGCACATTTTATGGCTTTTTACCAGAAGAAATTATGCAGTGTCATTTTTTTTAATTTCAAACAACAGGCTTTCACACACACAACACTATAACTATATATAAAACAGTAACTCAGAGATACACTGCTCCTGTCCTAAAAATCGGACCCCTGAGTGTGGATTAAAAAACAGCAAAATTGTCCAGGTCAGCTGGATGAGCTGATGGTACCAGTGCTGGTGTCCATCTAGGGTCAGTTTCATTTACTTAGACTGGGGAAACAAGCATTACCAGTAAGAATGCTGAATAATGCAGGCCCTTTGAGCCTGTACACTAAAGGAAAATCGTCACCTCGCACAGCAGATGTTTTACTCTGTGTGGGCATTTTGCTGGAAAAGTTTGGGGATAAATAAAAAGAACATGGACTGAAAATCAATCCAGAATAATGCAGAGGGATGATTTTCCCCTTGAATTTAAGCTTTCTTCAGAGTATAACACATTTTCTCAGTTGTTGCTCTTCATCTTTAACCCAGTGACTCTGTCAGTTTTATTGTAGGTGTATGTCCTTAGGGTAATGTAACACGCTGTATGAATTTATATTGTAAAAAGCCACATTTTTCCATCATCCTCTGACTCTCTGATGACTCGTGCGGTTTGATGAAGGCCAGCCACCTCAGCGCTGTTTGTCTGGGACTGGGAGGTCCAAGGCCAAACCCAGAGCTGAGCTTTAATTAACACATTCATGAACTGCAGCAGTGATACGGAGAGAAACGTGTTCATCCGAAAGGAAAAACAAAAGGCGTCATACGTCTTCTTCTGTTTCAGATCACAGAGAGAACGGAGTCCCTGAACCGCTCACTGAAGAAAAGGTGAGGATCTTCATCAGTATCCTGATCAGATTTACATATGCATTATTTCACCAAATAGAAATATTAAACCTATTAAAATCTCTTAAATAATTCAACCTAATAAATGGTGTTTGGGCTCATTATCCTGACAGCATGCAGGCAGCCTTTTTTTTAATTTATTTATTTTTTTCTGCCTCCTTCTATAAAACTGTATATAAAGGATGTAAGTAGTGAGTGTGATATAACACTCTGGACCCTGCAATGTCATTTCTTTGGCTCCTTTTTGTTTGTTTTTCGTGGGTAGAAACAGAAAATGCCACAGTGACACCAATCTACACATTTTAGCCTGTTCACCCAAGGGATTGCACTTTAGGGAAGTTTGCATCTGCGATGGTTGCATCTTTATATAATCCTTTGTACCTCAGTTGTTTTTGGCATTCCCAACACACTCCATGCTATCACAGTGCTGCATAGTCAGCAATGTCCTGCTAGAAGCCTGAGACACAGTCTGACAGGTAGACAAAGAGCGCAGCTTGATTTCAAAGTTTCTACTGAGTCAATCTGGTCAACTGAGTGTTATCTGAATGCTACCTTAATGGAAGGATACAAGTCAAAGAACTGTGGCCTTTATGTACAAATGAGCTAATCTTGAATGTAGCTTCAGTTTGAATGTTGTTCAGAATCTTCCAGATCAAAGAAAAATGCAGATTTTTTTTATCCAAGCATCTGAATAGTGGAGGAGCATGTGATATTCAACTGTATCCACAGAGAGATAAAATACGTGTCTACATATTTTAACTGAGTTATTTTTTTCTGACTAGCTATGCTAAAGCTAAGCAAGTTACAGTGATAGGAACTGGAAGCAGGCATGTGAGGTATTTCCACTGATAAACTTCAAGTAGCTAATCCTTTTGACGTAAGTGACCTGCTTCTTTTTTCAGTTTTTTGGCTGCTGGTTAACTCTCCAGCGTCTGAACGTAAACCCTGATGAAAAGGGTTGGAGGTGACCTCTCCACCTCTCTCAGTGCAACGCCTTTCCAAAGCTGTGATTTATGGCTCCTCTTAACTCTGTCCAGATGCAGGCGGCTGTGTTTTCTCTCGTGGTTAGTGAGGTATGGTGGCTCCAGGCAGTCTGCAGCAGGATATTATCAGCTCTGAGCAGGAGGAACGTTTCTATGAAGATGCTTTAATTTACAGACAACTGTGTTCAGAAGAGGTGTGATGGCATCAGGCAGCTCAACCTTTGACTCCCACAGTGTTAATGCCTGCAGAGTACTCGTGAACTGTAAATTGCTGAAGTTAAAATACATAGTTAATTACATGAAGCAAGAAACTTACAGGCTGGGCAGAGGTGGTACAGAAAATGAGAGGTGTAACTGAGTGTGTGGGTGCTCATTTAAATTTAGTCTGCGATTAAAGCAATTGGAGGAGGTGAAACGTCTTCCACACCTTCTCATTCATACAAAGAAGTAAAATGATGGATTTTGACCAGTTTACAGAGTAGCTCGACTTAAACGGTTGTGGCAGCAAAGAATGGGAGTCCCGATGAAATAAGAGCACATCATCTGCATAAAGGAGAATATTATGTTTGGGATTATAAGTTTACTATCTTTATTATTGCACATAGCAGTTTTATGAATAGTGCATAGTAGGGCTGCCACGATTAGTCGACTAGTCACGATTAAGTCGACTATTAAAATCGTTGACGACTGATTTAATAGTTGACGCGTCGTTTGAAGCTTTGTAAGATCACAAAAGACGCAGTAATGAGTAGTAGGATTTAAGAGTGTAATAACGGACTGAAACAGAAGATGGCAGCACTGCATGTACAAGGATGCCAGCTGCCGTTAAACCCCGAAGAAGAAGAAGCCCAGCTCAGTTTCCAACAATGGCGGCAGCTAGTTAGTTTTAATATTACTCTTATTATTCTTTCTGGGTCACAAAATAAACTTTTAACATATTTTCAGGCGAGAATGTAGCTGTGTAAACCTCAAATATCTGCTCAGTTTATCAAGACACATATTTTCAAAAGCGCTCCGACGTTTTCAGAGACGTCTGTTAGCCACTAGCTCGATAGCTAGCCGGGGGCTAGGCTAAGAAAATCTTATGTACGTAAACGCACATTGCAACTTCTTATCCGGTGGGCGTCTTTTATTTTGACAGCGAATGCGCACATGCGGACTACGCAGCCCTGCTCATATCCAACCGATTAAATTGTTTTCTCAACCCAAATTTCTCAAGTGCTGCAAATAGGAATTCACAGTTGACTTTTTCAAATCTTCTTTTTCCTGCATTAAGTTGAATCGTTTACGAGTGCTGGTGAGTGTCTGCCTTTAATGAAACATGTCTGGTCTGGATGGATGAATGCCAGAGGGACTTTTTCTAAGCAGGAGCTTTGCTCATGTGTGATCACTGCAGTATTGACAGGAGGGAGGATACCTGGAGGTAGCCATACATTTTTTTGATCATCCTCATAAATTAAGTCTGGGACATCTTGTATAAGAGGTGTATAAGTTCATAAAAAACCTCTGTAAAGGATTTGTACTTATTTATTGCTACATTTGTGTATTGGTTTTAGTGCTACAGACATGTGGTTTACTACAACTGAAAGTTTGAATTTAACATCTAGACTTATTGACAGGTAGAAACTTTCCCTCCTTAAACTTTATTGCAGAAGTTAAAACTAACTGACGGCTTCCAGCTATGACAACCTCAGCAGCAGCCTCTGATGTTTGCTCAGCTGCATGACATCATCAGGTCAAACCTCCTTTTAAAAGCGGGTGTTGCCCCATGATGGCGCCTCAGACATGTCAAAGTCAAAGATTCAGATGATAAATGAGTTTTCCCTCCTGCCATGAAAGAATGATGTCAGAGCTCTTATCTGAAGCCGGGGAAAGCCAAAAAAATAGGGAGGAGGATCTGCTGGATCTGCAAAGACCACAAGACAAAAACATTTCAGACAGACTTTAATTTAATCAACCGCAAATCCAGCTTTGACTCAGTTTCTGGAGCCAACGTGAGTCGGTCTGACCCAACGTTTTTGATCTTGATTATAGTGTGAACATGGAAATCTGGGAAGTTGTAAAAATGTAGACACAGACAGACACAAACTTTATTTTGCAAATGCCTGGGAGGTTCTAAAATCATCAGGTGAGCCGTGAGGCCAAACCTGAGAGCCACACGTTTTGAACTGACAATATAAAGCAATCAAATTTTAAGGTTTAAATTTAAACGTCATATTTCAGCTTAATGAAATCCTGCATTCTCAGACTGGACTGGAGCTGTCACAGTAATAGATTTTCACAGACCATAACTTTGGTTTAAGTGTGCGTTGTCTTTTTTGGCCAATTTATTCAAATCAACGTACAAGTGTGTGCGCTGAGAGAGTACAGGAAGAGAAAAAAAAATCATATTAACTGCATTATTGACACCCCCAATATCCCATTTTTCAATATATTGATTACATTGATGCCCATCACGGGAGCGCTTTGATCTAAACATACTGATAATAAAAAATTAGCACCACCAAGTGTTAGGACGTGGTCCGAGTCCGGAAACAATGGCATGGCGACTCCGGAATGGGAAGGAGTTTCTGCCCTTCCTAATCAAATAAAAGAGTTCAAGTATTTCAGGGACTTGTTCACAATTGAGGAAACTCCTCCTGGGTGAGATCTGTTCAAATGGGAGGAGAGCTCCAGTTAAACCCGCAGATTATCTCTCCTATTGCTTGGGAATATCTTGGTGTGGCCCAGAAGAGCTGGAAGAGTTGGCCATGGAGACTGTGCCCCCCTGTGACCCGGATAATCAGCAGCAGACGATACATGAATGACAGGATCATAAAAATAAAGTTTAGAGTTGAAACATTTGAATTGTTTATTTTAAATTTAAGGGAGCAATCTATTAAAATGAATGTGACGCAGACTCCGAGTCTCTGGTTTTAATTTCCTGCTGCTTTGTGTGACTCAGTAACAGCTTCAAGAAGACGCAGCCTCTCCTCCTGACATCCAAGATCGACGACAAGCTGGAGCAGTACGCCCACGCTGTGGAGGTCAGCGCACACACACGTCCATGACTCTTTAATATTTTATTGATTTTCAAGGTTTACCGTCTTTTTTCACTTGCTTGTTAAGACCCCACAGACTCTCCTCGTGTTCACATGAAACCTTCACTCGTGTTTCTGGGAGACGTGACGTAACCATATTCAGTCATGACTTGCACAAAGACGCATGCAGACAGAGGGAGCATTGATGAAGCTAATGAATGATTTCATCAGCCCCCCCTCCTGCCCACAGATATCTATCACAGCCTGTTGGTCTCATTCATATCTGCCTCGCTGCAGTGTTCATTACAGGCACGGCCTCACAACAGCCTGACAATTATCCTTTCTGTTGGTTAAGCGTGAGGATGGCACAAAAATAAAAAGTCACTGAGATAATTTCGGTACAATACGTGGAAAGCATTGACTCATCAGAGATAATGTTTGTGCACTAGTTGCTTCCTTCCTCTGATTTGAATTTTCTGCAAACCCTCGGGTGTTTTCTGCAGCGAGACGCGCGTGGTGTTTGCTCCGCTGCAGGTTTGAACCTTTGCACTCACATTGTTTGGACTCAGCTGGGGGCAGCAGCAGCTGCTCTGACCTTTTTTGTGCAGCGGCCACAAACCTCAGCAGCACCTGGGCGATTACATCACCCGCACGTATTTTCAATTGTGTGTGTAAAACGGATGCATGACAGGAAAACGTGGTGATCCCAGCTTTTTATTTTTATCTTTCCATTCCTCGTTTTCCTTTTCACCTCAGGTGGTTCCCATGCTGATTTATAGTCTGCAGCACAAAAACAGGTTTAACAAAAGCACATAAATTAAAGGTGTGCAGGAGAGAGAATATTCTCACCATAAATCTTTTAGATTGAGATTACACCACATAAATCTGCCTAAACTATGTCATTTATATAAACCACAATTTGAACGCAATTAGATATATATTGTGCTTTCAGCACAATAGCAAAGAAACATAGCATACCAGCTTATGCTAGCAAACTTTTTTAACAAATACACCCTCTTTGAAATAAATTCTAAGGTTTTAAATATCAGGTCGTGATAATAAGATAAGATGTCAATAAGGTGATGTTCATCTTTCAGCCTTGGATGCTGCCACTTGTTGCTAACCGTGAGGTTTGTCTTTGTGCAGAACTCTCAGGAGGCTCGGGCAGTGAAGGCATCACTGAATGACCTGCCTCAATCACCTGAGGTTGTCGCTTCCAAGAAGAACCTGTTTGAGGCTGGAGAGGCCTGGAGCCAGAGTCCCAGCAAGGGAGCCACCTGCAAGGTGAGAGGAAACAATCTAACAGGGGATCTTTAGATTTCTGCTTAAATGCATGTAAAGCTACGATCTGTGGTATGTAGTTACAGCAGAGCCTGTTTGACCTAAAAGGAACTTTTCTTGGTCATTTTAATAGGTAATCACAAGCTTTTTAGGGAGTTTAAGGATGACCATAAAGTTGCTAGCATCACATTAAAACACTGCACTTTAGAACCAAATGCCTTTTGCTTCACCCGATCGTGCTGTTTGTCTGCATGTGCTTGTGGAAGATCATCATTGAAATTTTTACCCATTTAAAGCCTCATGTTTGTCCGACCTAACAGCTAAACCTCACGTGTTTATTTAAAGTCTGGCAAACAGATCCATCCTCACCTGTTTCATATGTTCTGTTTTATGGGAATTCTTTGATGTGAACGGTCAAACAGGCGCTTGTTAGTGAAACAGAGAGCGGTTATTATGGGCTAAAAATAATTTGTCCAAGCTTCGATTTTTCTCAGCAGGTCATGAAGAGAAAAGCGAAGAAACAAATTAAGGGAGATATATTTATTTATTAAACACAAATTATGGACATTACAAAGGAGTTTTCATCGAATTTATTCTGCAGGTCCAGCACTGACTGCAATTTAATTACACCAGTTAAACATTTTATATCTTAAAAAGAAGCAAAATTACTGCTAAATTGAATTGTCATTTTTAATTTTATACTATATTTTTAATATGTATAATAGTCACATTTAATTTTATCCACCCAAGGAAATTAAAAATTAAATTAAATTAAAAATATATATTATTTACTTTAATTTTATATTTAAAAAGTCTAATACATTAACAATTTCATAAATAAAAGAAAATTAATGTATTTTTAAAAAATGTAATCTATTAAAAATAATACTTTAAAAAATGTAAACAGGCCATAATTTAAAACTTTTGTATTTTACTTAATTTTTCATCTCTTTTCTTCATATTTTCTTATCATCATCATTATTATTTAAATATATTTCTGTATTGAAGGTTTATTATGCCTCTCCCTTTGAGGCATGTTTTGCCTCCACAGAGCAGGACGCTGTTATCCAGCTAAATGAACCTAGTTTGCTTTAATGCAAGTGTGGAACAACTGAATAAACAAAGTTAAATACTCAACTAAACATCTGAGTTTAGCTGAAGATGAAAGTGAAACATTGTATCCTGTTTGTGCTTCACCAATCAGGACACTGAGGGTCTGAAGGTGGGCGTGGCCAATCTGATCAATCAGTGGGTGAAAGGCCCCTCAGACGGCAGCAGACAGCTGAGCAGCAGACCCGCTGTAAGTCACGTTCACTCCAACAAGAGTGGTTTCAGATGTTAATGGTGCAGTTTTGTTTGGCATTCACAGGCAGTGGGATTGTCCTTTAAGCTGTTTTTTATGTATTCAAAGGAAATCTGTGTGTGTGCGCGGTTTTAATGAAGAGAGCAGCTGCACTAAACTCGCCTCTCCTGTGTAATAGCTGAGCTCACAGTGATGCGTTCAGGTGCAGTTTGCGATGTGAGGTTTCCCTCTAGTGGCAGCGTCAGAGATAACTCTATATAACAGGATTTCTCCATTTCCTTTATCCTAAAAATGTAAAATAAATCAGGAAATTCCATAAACAATTCAATATTTAGAAACGACTAAGAAAAAAGCAATAAAAGTATGTCTTTTCCTTTTTTATGTGAGTGGAATGCAAATCAAGAACAGCTAGATTTATTCAGGCTATGCACCAGATTTCATGGAAGACTCCTGAGCCATGTTTTTTAAAAAACAAAACAGGATCTGAGACCCGGAGATGTGATGCAGAAGAAGAACATGTGGGAGGTCATCGGAGACTCGTCGGGGAGGCCCGGACAAAACATGAAGGTATAAACATAGAATACAAGCACAGAAGAGTCTTAAATGTAAAGTAAGGCTCAATTAAGAATAATTTGTTTGCATTCACCTCGCTTCTTTTGTTATTGTGTACATCAGAAGTGTTCATTGTTTGGTCTATAAAACACTGGAAAAGGATATTTAATGTAAAAAAGTCCCTTTCACAACTTCACGGTACAGTTATCTGATGCCTGAGTTATCAGTTTTCTCATTTTAGAGAAACTGGCACATCATTCTCATCTAGTGTGTTTTTTATAAGGGAAGAACACTTCAGAGGCCTCCACCACTCTCACCTGGTGGAGGAATCATTTTTAAAAAAATGTCATGAGTGATGGTGAAAATCTTGACCTGGATTTTCATCTTCAGATTTCTAATCTGTAAAAAATATTCCAAATGAGCTCTCGCTTATCTCCTCAGAGCTCAGCGGCTAATAAAAAGTACAAATTTGTCGTCACTGGACACGGCAAATATGAGAAGATTCCTGTGGACGACGAGGACGAAGGGAAGTTCACCAATGGAGAGTCGGGTAAGATCACAGACAAGGAAGTAAAAGACTAACTAGCTGTCTCTTAAACTGTGTACCACCATTCCTATATATGATGACACAAAGTCCTGTGAGTAGCAAGATGGTAAGAGCACTCTGTTCTTACCCTCAGTGGTCACCATCTTGACTACAGAGCAGAAAGGGAGCCTGTTTTCAGATTGGATTGCTTGGTTCAGTGACTTTCATCAGAGAATCTGCTAGCAGAACAAATTAGTGGCATTTTTGTATTTAATATATGTGCAGTGTGCAGCCCTGGCAGTTTAAAGTTTATTCCACATCAAAGCATCATTAAACTCTAAGCATTGATTCCACTATGATGCCTGAATGTAAGTAAGTATGTAAGCGTGTGAATCAGGGTAAAGGGTAAACTGCTGATCTGTTGTGATGTTCAGATGTGTCTTTCAGCTTGTGATCACTGGGAAGCTGTTTCAGCTGTCTCTTTCTTCATTCAATCCATTGCATGACTCAAAAATATACTGATGTAATTAGGGATGCAACGATACCAATTTTTTCAAACCGATACGATACCGATACTTGGATCTGAGTACTTGCCGATAC